CACAGCACCTTCACCATTTCAAGATTTTCCATCAATCGCAGTATAACCAACCTGAAAGTCTTCCTCTGAACCTAAGACAAATTTTACTGAGCAAAGAAAAGGAAAAAGCCAGCTGTGATGCTCTGATCTATCTTCACTAAATAAGAAACTGGTGTTTTTTATTGTTAGGAATTGCATTATACTTTCTGTCATGGTACAGTGCAAGCAGCATTTTTGCTTGAACTTAGAATGCTCTGATTGAGTTAAGCAAAATGGGCATATTTGTAATTATTTGGGATCTCATCACATTGATGACCAAAATTTAGAAATAAATTACAGAAAACTCATATAAAATGGATCAGAGACATAAAGTCACCTGAAAGAAAGAGGCTGTTAGGCTAGAGTGGGATAATTTAAATAATACTTGAAGTGTAATAAGATGAATAAATAATCATTCCATGGAAGTGGGCCTGTCAGCCCCAGAAGTGTGAAGCAACTGCAGGCAGAGTCACACACTGCCCATCCTGAGAACAACCAGGGGAAGGAGAATTAAAAGCATAGGCTTCCTTCCCTCTGGGACCCATGACAAGGCCCTCTGTGTAGAACTGATAGGCACAATGTTTTAATTTAGTTCTTTACATAACAGAACTCAGTATCCCAATACCCTGATAAGAGAAAAGAACTAAGTTAAGAAGAAAACCCATAGTTGTGAGTGCCAGGAAGGGTCACACAGCTATTTGTGCCTGAAAGTCAGGGTAACAGGAAACTGGACCTACAGGGGCAGCTTACATATGGCTACCCATGGAGTTTGGTAGAACTCCCCGTACATTGGCTAATTTAAATAATTTCACAAGCTCTAGAACATAGGGTCTGTCCCTCATTTTCTGGTACCTGGATCCAGAATGGGTGGTTAAAATGGATGCATAGTGGTCCAGAGTGGTCGAGCCCTGGGAAGGAAAGTGGTTGGGTGTATGAATTTAAGAAGTGAAATTGACAGGCCTCTATCCTAGGCCTTGAAACTGGGTCAACATATTAAAAAAGAAAAACTATATCACAGAATGGTTTTATCTTGCATGCCATATGCACCAGTTGGAGCCCAGTGTGGAAAAGAACTCTAGGTCTAAATGCAGGCCCAGAGGGAAAGAATGCTGAGACTGTTGGGTAGGGCCTGGATGAGTAGAGGGGGTACAAACCCCACAAGCCACAGGTTTCCCAGCTCAGATGTTAGAGTTGTTGTCTTGGACTCAAGTGCTACTCTAGAGAAAGATCCTTTTTACATTGAATAAGGCATTAACTGCCACTGTCAGATGCTTAGACTAATTCACTAATCTCTTGGAAGCATCTATTATTCTTTATGGCTGCATCCTGTTTATTTCTTTCATAGTCCTTATGACAAATTACAATTGCATATTTATTATTAATATGCAGTATATTATATTTATTATCACATATTTATTAGATGTTTTGCTATCTTTTTACTTATTATCTATCTTTCTGACTAGAATATTAGTTCCAGTGAAGATTTCAATCACCAAAGTATACCCAGTGCCTGGTAAAATGACTCTTTCAGGATCCGCATTCTGTAAATATGTGTTGAATAACTGGGTACACAAGAAACAAAGTAAAGAACAAATGGATGAATTTAACTCTCCTCACTCACCAAGCTATTTTCTGATCCTGATATGGTTCTTCTATATGAAAAAGCAGAATCCTTATCACATGGTTAGCATTATGTCTGGTATTTCTCATAAAATTATAACTTCTATTCCAGTGAGAACCTTAATCTAATATGTACTATATTTAACAAGGAGTATACATTCGGGGACTGTCCACTTCTGAGTACATAAAAGAGTGAGTCTCTAGCTAGACTATAAAAACAGAGGTCAGATTCAGGCAGCATCTTCCTTCAACTTTAGGAAAATACTTCCTCCAGTCTCCAGCTTTATGCCCTACTTAACAAACCGTCAGCAGAGTCATTGTATTTGTTACTGACACATGGTTTCTTAGGTTATTGGGTTAAATAAAATCTACTGCAGCTTAGAAGATTATTCTCCACTGACTTTCATCCTTGCTGCTTAATTAAATCCCTTACCTGGGAAAGAGTGATTTTCAACCATCTCGCTTTCTGTAGCATCAGCACATAACTGTGACTGTTGAAATATCAAAATGTCAGTAGTGTTTAATGCTTCAGGTGGTACAGCCTTGTTATGTTGTAATCCCCGATGAAAATAGATATTAACTGAGAATTGAAAATGACAGCAGAGGAGATTGAATCAGAATAGCAAAATGAGCATACAACTCTATTTCTTCTCTTGCCTCAATTCCTAAGAATATCCAAAAATATCGTTTTTAAGGACTACTTCCATAGCAGTATTAGAAAAAAGAAAGAATTCCATGATACAACTAGAAATCTTAGGAATTTCCTGGTAGGCCCCAGAAAATACAATTAGTGTGAGAACAATGAAAATGACCAGAAACCAAAGAATGCTAAAAACAAACAAACAAAAAAACCTAAAAGTAGAAGCCTATTCAGCAAGACATTGAACAAATTCACTGAAGAGCATGGCGGGTCTGCCCTGGACTGATGGCACTGATGGTCCTAATTCTTCTCTCCTCCCTAAATTTACGCCCTTTGCTGTGAGAATTCAGTTCCTTTCACAGAGAGATAGAGATGCTTACCCTATCCTTTGTGTCTAGGCTGACTTTGTGACTTGCACTGGCCAGTACAATAAGACAGAAGTGATAGTGTATCCACTCTGAGTCTTATAAACCTTAAGGCCTCATGCCTATGTAAGGGCACCCATGCTTAAGGAGGTGCTCTTGTGGGCCCCAGTGCCTAAGAAAGAGCAAGAATAAGTTGTGTTGTGATAAGTCTGACTTCCTGAATGGCAGAAAAAAGGAAAGGGTGGCTCTGTTGAGGAGGAAAAGAAACTTAAACTAACCTCTCTCACCCAGATTAAGGAAGCCCTTCTTGCTTCACCACTGAGATAGTGAGTAGTAGAAGCCGCACACTGCTTGTCTACTATATTTTCCAGTATACAAAAATGAGATCCTTTTAGCAGAGGCTGTAAATAGCCCTTGCACATGGGAGAGAAACCCAAGGCAGACCAGATGTGTGCAATGGTAGCGAAGCCTCCCCAGCTGGCCACATCCACCTGGCTTTTTCAATCATTAATATAAAGAGAAAACCAAGAAATCCCAGGTGTCCAAGAAAGTTCTTTGAGATGAAGGAGAAGTAGTAAGATAAAGGACAGGCCAACTAATCCTAAGCAATTCAATAAAGGAAAGAAATATTTTTTTTAAAATATGATAATATCATCAGAAAGATCTATAATATTACATCCATAACAGAAAGTAACTTTCAGAAATCTTTCAGAAAATAAATGAGAGCAAACTTCCAGAAAATAATAAAGAACCCTTGAAACCTTTGAAAATTAAAATTTTTTCCTTAAAAATTTAATAAACTTTTTCTTAAACTCAGTATTATGTTAGAAGAGATTGCCATAGATTATCATATTATCATAAAAGAGATGAGTTCAGACACAAGATAAATGATTATAAAAATAAATTTGAGAAAACTTTAGTAGAGAAAGAAAATCGATGGAAAAATGTATAAGAAAGACAAAAGTTGTGGAGGATGAATTTAGAAGGTGCAACATATATTAATTAGAAGTTCTCAAAAGGAAGAAGAGAGAAGTGGATGAGAGAAATGAGTATAAGATATAGTAGAGACTTTTTTTTCATGATGAACAGTCCGAGCCTTCACATTGTAAAAGCTCCTGTAAGAGAGGAGTAAAAAGAATTAAATAGGATAAAATTCCAAATCATACCAACATAAAAGGTGGCAGCCACAGAAAGTAGAGGTAAGCAAAAGTGTGCTACATTCCAAGAAGGCAATGAGAAGATGCAAATCGTTATAATGATGACAAATTCTACGTGTCATTGCTAAAGAAAAACAAGAACTTACACATACCTACATATAAATGTTAAGTGTATAGGAAAGAATCTAGAGGGACACACAGGAGGTGAGAGGCTGATACAGGGGAACTTGCAGTTTGAAATTTATCAAGTTGTAAATTTTGGAGTAGTTTTTGCAGTGCAAATATTATCTGTATATCAAATTAAGAAAAGGATTATTTTTTTTAAATACAGCACAGAGATTGTACCTACTATTTTCTTGAGTGGGAAAAAAACTGTAAGATCATGTTTGTTTTATTTCTATGTATTTTAAGATTGCTTGCAAGAAGGAAAAACTATTACTTTTATCTTTAAAGTATTGATATGAGGACCTCCAAATAAAATAAGGAAAATATTATAACTCCCAACCTGCTAGATGTCTGGCATGCCAAGTTCGTGTTCTCTAAGATTGAAAATGAATTCTAGGAACAACAGAGGTTAAGAGTAGGAAGAATTTATTGAGAGAAAGATGGCTTCTGTCTGAGAGACAGAAATATCAAAGTGCGTTGCCTGTGAACCCAACTTCTCAAGGGAGTTTTACAGAGCAAAGCCACGAGGGAAGGCAGTCATAAGGTGGGACAAACCTATAGTCAACCAATACGATTACATGTATAGTCGCTTAAGTAATATTGATCCAATAGAAAATCACAAAGTGAGTATAAGGTGGGACAAAACTATAGTCAACCAATAAGATTACAAGTATAGTTGCTTATGTAATACTGATTAAATGGAGTTCAAATGTGGAGCAAGTACGTGGAGTGAACAAGGATTTTCCAGAAAGGAATGGGCCAAGGAGGATTTGGTCTCTACCCAAGGCCATTGATGCCTATTTAGAATATCAATCACTAGGGGAAGTATGTAGGTATAGTCAGTTCTCTTTGTCTGGAAGCTGGGTCTTCAACAAATGTGCCTCCAGCCACAGTTGTGTTGTGTTCTTATCTTCTGCATTGACTTCTTCTGGGGCCCAGCTCTGTCTGACTGCTACTAACTTAGCTGTCTACAATAGTATATACTTCTTTTTCTTTTTTTACTTCTTCACCCAATTCATTCATTCTTCATTTCAGGCCAGGAGACATGATTACTCTTCTAGAGGATTCCAATGAAGACTGGTGGAAAGTAAGTATTTCTCTTGGGGGGGGGGCACCGGGGATCAAACTCAGGACCTTGCACTTGCAAGGCAGGCAGTGGAACCACTGAGCTAAATCCCTGGCCCCAGTATTTCTCTTTCTTTAAAAAGAAAAGATTATTTGGTAAAAAGAAAAGATTGTTTGGTAATTATTTGGTAATTACAATAAGTGCTACAGTTGCAAATGAATACTTCCTATTTCCTTTCAGGGCAAAATTCAAGACAGGATTGGCTTCTTTCCAGCCAACTTTGTTCAGAGAGTACAACAAAACGAGAAGATTTTTAGATGTGTTAGAACCTTCATTGGGTGTAAGGAGCAGGGACAAATAACACTGAAGGAGAATCAGGTGAGTACGGCACACAAAAACATGCCAAGTGTGACCAAAACATTACAGTGCTCAGAAATTGGGATGAGTGAGGTTTCAATGTATTTAGTTTGGGAAAAGGTATCCTTATTCCAAACCATATTAGTGTAATCAGAATCTAGACATGCAAACCCAAATGTCAGGAAGCTCACTTGGAGTCTGTTCACAAGAGGAAATGTGTATTGCTTCATGTTGGCAGGGTGAGAATATCTAGACCATGTGCTTTTCTCAGGGGATCACTGGTCACTGAGGAGAGCAGTTAGTTTGGACTCTGCTTGTGCCACCAATGTGCCTCCATTGTCTCTTAGGAACACATTGGTTTTACTTGCTGCTGTGTTCCAGGGTTCGTTATATTTGCCCTCATTCACAAGGATCCTTTTTAGGTTTCCTTGTCCAGATTCTAAAGCTCTACCTGTTCACTGAAGATCACAACATCACATCATGGCATAAGACATAGACTATAGATGAGCAAGGATTACCTCAGGCACTTGTGTTATTCATTTTCCTACATCTACTCTAGAGGTGTCTGAGACCATCTTGCTCCAGTGCCACTGAATTTGGAATCCTTTCTGATGTTACTTTTCCTGAACCCTCTGATCCTGTATGTCTTTAAGCTTCTCTCTTCCCTATCTCATCCCAGCATTGTTGATAGACACAAAGAAACAGGAAAATCATAATTTCAATCTTTGTCTTATTTTTCTCTCTGTCTTCTTCCACCAAACAGAGGGCTCCTTTCCATCCCTCATTATCTGAAACTCTCCTCATGTTACAATTCTGTATTCTCATTGTGGGATAAAATAATCTGCTAAGAACTCCAAGTTTGTTCTGGATATATTAGAAGAGGATTTGTGGAATTGGAAATTAGAAATTCTATTCTCTCCCAATAAAGTGTCACACTGGGTTTCAATTTCTAATTTTGGAAGCCAAAAGCTTGCCTCCCATTTTGCATTCCTGGTACAGTCATTCTAATATTTTCCAGGGCAATGAATGCCTCTAATTGAAAGTGCTGAGGCTCACCTTACAAAAAAAGTACAAAAAAGAAAAATGCATTAATAATTGTAGTACATCTCTGTTCAATAGATTTGCTCAAACACATCTTGAGTATCTTATTTTAGAAGTGTCTTCAAGGGTAGTTTCTAAGTCACATGCACAAAAATCAGTCATTATTTTATGAATATATCTGATTTATAGTTTTAAAAAATTGTTTTAACCTACTTAGCCAACTATTTTGTATCCCACCTATGGCTCCAAATGACTAATAAACAACACTGAAAAAAGGATGATTTAATTTTCCTTTATAACTATTCAAAAGAATCTTCAAAATTATAATGTAAAGGAGTAGCTTTTTTAAAAAAAGTTATTCCCACTCCCCTTATATTCAAATAAATAAAAGTTATTTAAAATAAGAGACCAATAATTTTGAGTATTATTCTCCACATATAGTTTAACAAAGATGGGGAATGGAGTCAATGCAATTTGAGTTTTTCATGAATACTAGGATACATCAGTCCACTCATTTTGAATAATGACTGGGTACCGTGCATTAAGAGCCACAAAATTGCTCAACCTCGTGAATACAGTAATTCCACTTTCTGTAATGTACCCAAAAAGGTAATCTAATGCAAGGGGGTAGAAATCTTTCTGCAAAAAGACAGTAATCAGAATAGTATTCATAATGGTAAGAATTAGGAACAATCACACAACAATGAGAATGATTAAGTCAACAAAAATACTTTCTTTTTGGGTACAATGTCAGGAACCAAAGCAGTTTTGATGGCATGATGATAATGTTATAGACAGAATGCTGGAACCCAGGTCCCACTTACTGTTCTCCCAAGGTGAAGACAGAGAGAGAGAGAGAGAGAGGCGGTCTGAAGCCCCGTTTTTATTCTTGGAGCCAGAGTGAACCAAATAGAGTGCCAGATTTGACCCTTAGCCCGCTTTGCTCTCATCACCACCAACACCACAGGCTGCACTGAGATTTAGGATCCTGTGACACCAGTGGCTCATGGTGAACAAAGGATCAGAAAGGAGTGCAGCAAAATTGCATAGAGAACAATATAGCCTGATGACCTCCTGGGAAGCATAAGAACGGAGGAAGCTTTACTAAACAGTGATAAATCCCTGACACATGTAGCCAAATCCGATCTCCTCACTTGGAGATTAGGAAAGACCTAGGAAAAAGAAGAGATCATCAAATATTGTATCACCATCTTAAATGATGGCTTTATAAACAGTGAAAGACAGTAACATGAAGTTAAATAATGACATAAAGGTATTTAAAATTAGTACAATTAGTACAAATTAAGAAAAAAGAAATTTTTTTCTTTTCTATTTAAATTACTTCCACAGTATAAATTTACCAAAATTACACTTTTTAAAAAAATAATTAGTAAATTGATTTAATCAATAATTTGGGGGGTTTTTACAATGCTGGAGTTTTTTCCTTAAATTCTTTTATTGGTACATTTTAGGTATACAGTACATTTACATTTATCATTGGGTTCTTGTACCTGTCCATGGTGTATCTTGGTTCTTATTTTTTTGCCATTACCTGTGCGCCCTTCACCCCCTCCACCTTTCCCTATTTACATAGACTTTGTTTCCATTTTTTTTTCTTTTCTCATAATTTTTCCTTTCCCTCCTTTCCTTTTCCCTTCCACTCCCACCACCCCTACCCCTTTGGACCTTTTCTTCCTATTTCAAATTATCAATTATTCATTTTAATCATTTTAATTCTTATTTACACTTTCAGTTTCTTACACCAGAGAAACTATTCGGTATCTATACAGGTGTATGCTATTTATTTCACTTATGAGTATGGCCTCACTTAAAATGAAAAAATATTAGCTCTTATCTCTTGAATCTAATAATCTAAAGATGCACAGTGTTGCATGGTTTACACGTGCAGGCTCAGATGCATCCATGCGCAATCACATATCGTCATGTTCCTCCATTGCATATCCAATTACAGTAGCTCCTTCTTGTGCAAATACCCCAAGAGATGTATTCCAGGTAATGACTTTTTGTTTTTAAAATCTCTAATATCTTAAGAAACTAGGTCACTGGGCTCTATGATCTCACCCTAATTTTATAGCTTTACTTGTAATTGGAATTTTTCCCTTTTATAAAAATTGCTTATAGTGTATACCCACTTTAGCACACAATGAATTTTATAAATTTATACAACCTCTCTTCTATCTGGCAGCTTTGGACATAATATACAGAGTTCATTAAAAAATGTATACACACATCAGGAAAAGAAAAATAGCACATTTTTTCAGCAGATGGCCACCACTTTCAGCACTTCTTGTAATTGTAGTGGCCAAAGGTAATTTGTATTAATCTCAATTAATACAAATATTAATAATAAATATTAAAATATTTATACAAGTTTTTCTTTTCCTGTTTGTATATACTTTTTTGATGGATTCTATATGTTTAAAGAGATCAAAAGCCATGGATATGCTGGAGTGATTTTTCTGCCCAAAGTTGTTCTCCATGGAGCTAATGTCAACCCACATGCCACTTCCCTACATACTCTTCAGTGAGGTAACAGCAAGAAGCATCATCTGCCTAGAAAGATCAGACTCATCCGATCATCCGAGGGACCTCTCAACAGTAGCACATCTGGGAATCCCACCATTTCCACGTACCTGGGAGATTACACAGACCACTCTGCCTCCTGTAAAACTATGTCAGATCTCTTATAGGAATTCCTTTTCAGATTGTGATGACTTGTCTTGGATCTGCTACTCGAAAGAGAATCTTGTTTTTCTAGCTCCTGATTAACAAAAAAAGAAAAAAACAAATTAATGCTCCCCTAGACATGTCTCAATAATAATTGTTACAAATATCATCTTTACTAGTCATTATTTAATCATACCATACATACAAATAATATATATGCAAAGTTTACATACCTACATATTTCTCTGATGTCACACATGCCAATGAATTTCATAGATTAGTTATTCATTGTTTTTGTTTTATAAGAAGGGAAGACAAAGGTTCATTGAGGTTATGTGCCTCCCTGAGTGGGCAAGAACCTGGTAAATGGCCAGGGTGCAATTTAAACACAGGTCTACAAATTCCAAATCAATGCCTTCTACTGAGCCAGGCATCCTGAACAATGTGTAAAACTAGTGAACAATAAAAAGCCATTTACACAGCTTGGCTCACAGCATAGGCAAATGTCATAAAGGCAAAGTTCTGGGACCAAAGGACCTTTTGAAAACATATTCTTCTTCATGAGGGCTCCCTGTTTAGCTATTCTCTATTCCAGGCAGTAAAATCACCATCATGAGACTGAGACCCCATCTCTAATGCCAGACACACCCCATAAAGTAGATGGGCATCTTTCCCAGCTTGATTCCATGCCAACCCTTCACACTTCTGCAAGTTTACCCAACTGTCTTTCCAGTTTCAAAAATTAGTAAAGTCTTTCAATGAAAATAAATCCATGAAGTGTGTTCTTTATTGGCAAATGTTATAAATCATCTTGATAGCACATTGGATTTTTTTCCTCAGAATAATCTTGTGCTTCCTGATTTGAGATTAAGCATTGTTTTTATGTTATTAAAATACAAATCAGTGAAACCAGAAGGCAAATTTAAATTTGCTCAAATTGATCAGTTTCCAGAAGTAGAACATCTGCTCAGTGGTTCCTACCAACTCCTTGGCATATGACTCAAAACAATTTTCTGGGAGTGGGCCTCACATCTGCATTCTCCACGTACTACATTCTCATGGTGGAGCTGACAGTCTGCTGAGGAACAACTCATCCTCTTCAATTAGACATGTCTGAGATACAGCATAACATGTCCACATGAACTTGGAACCAAAAAAGTCTGCACATATCATTTGGAAAATTCCACAATCCTCAATGATTTACACAGGCTGGTGTTTCTTTAGTTATGGCCCTTGGACCACTTGAATCAAACTCACCTGGGGATCAGAATGATTTGTTGAAAATGCAGATT